AGAAAAAAAAATTCTCAACTGCTCAGCCCTCTATTAGTGAGACAGCAAAAGTTTGGGCAAGGAAAATCCTTACTTATGAGGGGCATATAAAATGAATTTTGAAGTCAAATTGAGGGCATCAATTTCAAACTACTATAAGGCTACAGTAACCCAAACAGCACAGTACTGGTACACAATAGACACAGACCAACGGAACAGAGAACCCAAAAATAAAGTCAACAAAAATAAGCAATGGAAACAGAACTCCCTGTTCCATAAATGTTGGTGGAAGAGCTGGCTATCTATATCCAGAGGAATAAAACTGGACCCCCACCTTTCACCATACACAAAAATTAACTTGAGATAGATTAAAGATTTAAATGGAAGACCTCAAACTGTAAGAATCCTAGACGAAAACCTAGGAAACACCATTCTAGGCATCAGTCTTGGGACAGAATTTGTGACTAAGTCTTCAAAAGCAACTGCAACAAAAACAAAAATTGACAACTGAGAGCAAATTAAACAGCTTCTGCACTGCAGCCAGGTGTAGTGGCTCACACTTGCAATCCCAGAACTTTGGGAGGCCAGGATAGGTGGATCACCTGGGCTCAGCAGCTCAAGAAGAGCCTAACCAGCCTGGCCAACATGGCTAACCCCCATTTCTACAAAAAATACAAAAAAATTATCTGGGCATGGTGGCACCTGCCTGCAGTCCCAGCTACTTGAGGGCCTGAGGTGGGAGGATCACTTGAGCCAAGGAGGCTAAGGCTACAGTGACCTGAAATCCCACCACTGTACTCCAGCCTGGGTGGCAAAGTGAGACCCTATCTCCAAAACAATGAAAGAGGTTATGCACAGCAAAAAAAAAAAAAAAAAAAAAAAAAATGCTATCAGAGTAAACAGATAGTTTTTCCATTATCCAGCAAAGGCCTAATATCCAGAATCTACAAAGAACTTTAAACAACTGAACCAGCAAAAAAACAAATAACCACATTAAAAATGCAAAATGACATGAACACACACTCCTGAAAAGACAACATGGAAGTATCCAGCAAACAAAAAAATTCTCTACATCAGTAGTCAGAAATGCAAATCAAAACCACAATGAGATACCAGTCAGGATAGCTATTGTGAAGAAGTCAAAAAAAAAAAGACGCTAGCAAGGCTGCAGAGAAAAGGGGAACACTTACACAGTGCTGGTGGGAATGTCAATTAGTTCAGCCATTGTGGAAAGAAGTTTGGAGCTCTCTCAAAGAACTTAGAACTACCATTCAACCCAACAATCTCATTAGTGGATATATATTCAAAAGAAAACAAATGTTTCCACCAAAAAGATACATGCACCATGTTCATCACAGCGCTATTCACAACAGCAAACACATGGAATCAACCTAGGAACCTATCAATGATGAACTGGATAAAGAAAATGTAGTACATATACACTATTGAACACCATGTAGCCATAAAAAGAAGAAAATCAAGTTCTTTGCAGCAACATGGAGGCAGCTGGAGGCTGTTATTCTAAGCAAATTAACAGAGGAACAGAAAACCAAATACATGTTCTCACAAGATGGATCTCAACAATGGGTACTCATGAACATAAAGATGTCAACAACAGACATTGGAGAATATTATATAGAGGGCAAAGCTTGAAAAACTATTCAGTATTACACTCATTACCTGGGTGATGGGATCAATCATACCGTAAACATAAGCATCACAAGATATACCCAAGTAATAAATCTATACATACCCTCTGAATCTAAAATAGAAGTTGATGAAAAAAAACTTTTGAGCATCACATACAGCTCTTGAAAAACAAGAAATGACATTCTCTCAGAATTACCTAGATGATTGACAGTGGTGACACCCAATTAATTTTCTTATTTGGGACAATGAGAACTGCAGTTTCTTTAATAAGTAAAAAGCATGCATAATTTCTCAACGGAGCAAAAAAAAGTAGTCTTATAAGACATTTTATACTTCTATGTCCTTTTCCTTATTTGAATTTGTATAAATTATCTTTTTTAATGAAGTGACTGAGGACTTTTGGCACCATACCCTAAGAAAACGATAGTCTGTAGGGTTGATCTTTTACAGAAGGAGATAAGGGCTTTCCCTTGGCAAATGGCCACCCACACACTGCTATAAAGGAAGCTTTCCAAGGACTTACTAGGATATACCCAACGTATAATCATGTTCCGTTAGTTCTTCAGACATAATAGTGATAAAAATGAGCCATGAAGTGTTTCAGAATGGAAATTTTGATGAATTACTATCGCTATTAGGATTTTATGACTGCTGTTATTAAGTGAAAGTGGAAGACAAGCAGTTTTTTATTTTCCATTAACAAGGCCTTTCCAAACATTCTTTTGCCTTAAAAGTGGGTATGTTAGTCCGTTTTCACACTGCTATAAAGAACTGCCCAAGATTGAGTAATTTATAAAGGAAAAAGATTTAATTTACTCATAGTTCAGCATGGCTGGGGAGGCCTCAGGAAACTTACAATCATGGTGTAAAGTGAAGGAAAAGCAAAGTACCTTCTTCACAAGGTAACAGGAGAGAGAATGAACACAGAAGGAACTACCAAAAACTTATACAAGTGCCACATCTGTGAGACCTCATTATCAACAGCACAGCATTGGGCAAACCACCCCCACAATTCAATTACCCACACCTGATCTCTGCTCCATGATTCAGTTACCTCCACCTGATCTCTACCTGTCCCATGATTCAATTACCTCCAACTCATCTCTCCCTTGACACACAGGATTATGGGGATTGCCAAACCGTATCAGTAAGATGTTTAGTGTCCGCCTATCTTAGGCTGCCTCAGAAGATGCAAAAAATTCAATTTAATGCAAAAGTTTTCTCCATGGGACAAAAGTCCAGTGTAGACATGACTATAATCCCCTATAGCTAATTACCAAGCAAATAAAGATCCTGATGGCCACTGTGTCCCATGGAAATGTCTGCATATATGAGCTATGTTGTCACAATGTTCATGGCACTGAATATTTTAGGTAAGTGGTTCGTGGAATGGTTTCAGAGACCCCTCCCTCCACCGCCCAGAAAAACTGAAAGAAGTTAGCAACTAGAATCATTTCAAATTTTGAGTTTCAGATGTAATCATTGGGCCGATTACACAAATCATCGGTGATTATGGCGTTTTACACTTCCATTTTCCAAATGCCAATATTCAGAAAGTAAAATAATATGAGACCCTTAATCCGCCTTTGTGAAAATTATAACTGAGGAAATTAGGACTGTGAAAGGTCAGACCTAACCGACTCCATCTTGCTTCTACCCATTAAGCTGTTCTTGTTCATTCCTTGGTGTAGGCCTAACTAACCTTGGGAAGGAATTTAGTTTATGGTTTGACTCTGAAACAAAAGTGATAATAATCCTTTCCTGAAAAAAAAAAAAAAAAAAAAAAAAAACCCTTCTTGCCTGGGGATCGCTCTGCCTTGGTAAGACTAACAAATTCGCTACAAGATTAGAAATTACGGTTTAGAAGTCATGCAGCCTCTGGCTCCAAGAGTCTGAACCTCTCCAAATTGCTCCTGGGGATAACATCACTATTGTAAAATCTAAGGTCAGTGCTTGAGATATTTTACAGACCTTTCTTTCCATGCATCAGCTGACACCAGTCAGACTGGTAATCTGTCTCATCCAGTTCTGCAATCTCACCCAGGAACCGAAGACAGCAAGAAAACCTCACTTACACCCCGCCTGAGTCCATCTCCAACCTAAACAATTAGCACTCCCCACTTTCCAATCCCCTACCCGCCAAATTATCTTTAAAAACTCCGATCCCGAAATGCTCGATTTGACTAATTTTTTGAGTAATAATAGAGACCGATGTGAGTAATAATAAAACTCCAGCGTCCCGCACAGCAGACTGCGTGAATTACTTTTTCTCCATTGCAATTCCCCTGTTTTGATAAATCGACTCTGTCTAGGAAGGAGCAAGGTGAACCTGCGGGGCAGTTAAAAAACAACTTGAGCATTTTGGCTTTTGAGCGTACGTGAGGATTTGCGAGGGGCTCCTTTCTGGAGATCGTGCCACTCCCCTTGGACTAGAATATCACTAGCTCGGTTTTCAAAACCTCCTGCACAGGCTATGTATGCTGAAGGATGACATCTATCTTGAAATAAAAACGATTCGCTTCAATTCTAAGCTTCACAAACTACAACGCCCCAGGCTTCAGAGAAGCTCAAACACCTTAGCAAAACTATGAATATCTGTAATGACGCTGCTTCCCACCTCAGCACCCCCGCCCCAAGCTCCACCTTATTACTCAGTGCTAAAAACAAAGTAAGATAAGTATTATAACGTACGCCTCCATTTCACTTCCTCAGCTCCTCACTGCTGTTCCCCTATTCCTCCTTTTCCCATTCCCTCTGTTTCCTTTATTTCCCCAACTAGTTAACTTCAGTGCCTCTTCTAAGATAAAGGAGGTGTATCTTAAATTGAGGCTTACATCCCTATCCACCCTTGAAAGGTTGCTAAGTTCTGCTCCTCTCCCCTCCTGCAGCACCTAGTAATTAGCGCAGTTGGTCTCATGGAAGGTGCTCGGTAAATTTAAAAAAACACACACAAGGAAAACACACCCTGGAAACTAAGCGTGCCCGTACTACTCAATCCACGCATGCGCAGATGCAGAGCCCAGGACAGCGAGACTATCCCGACAGCTTCTTCCTCAGGCCCCAGTTAGAACTCCAAGTCGCTTATTCCCAACCCATGCACTCTCCAATCCCGTGCCACACGCCGGGCCTTCCCCACCACCTCATTTGCCTGGGCATGTAAAGGGCTCGGTGGGGCAGCTGCAGCTTTGCCTGTCTGTTAAAGGCCAGAGCGTCCCATCTCTGAAATGCCGGAGGGAACAGAGCTCAAGCTTGAATAACTGAGGGCGGCCCGGCAGTCCCTGAGGTGAAGACGCCGGCGCGAGAGCACCGGCAGGGCGGGGAGCGGGAGGCCGGGCCGCAGGGAACCGCGGGGCGTACCCAGCGCCACTTACCTCTCCAGGGCCTGCAGGGTGTAGCTGATGAGCGGCCTTTCCAGGATGGGGCAGAATTGCTTCGGGGTGGGGACACCCATCCTCTCTCCGCACCCCCCCGCCGGCAACACCGCAGCCACCGCGAGCGAGTGGCGTCCGGGCTGGGCCCCAGCCGCGCTCTGCAGTGAGGCGGAAGCCGCTTGGTCCGCGCCTTGCTGACTGCTCAGGCAAGGACCCGGCTCCGTGGGCCTGGAGCTGCCCGGCGGCCCGGGTTCCATGGCTGCAGGCTGAGCGGCGGGCCACACTAGCCCCGGGCCGATGCGACCCCACGCTGCTCCCACCCTCGGCCGGGGTCGCGGAGTGAAGAGCAGACCACCGAGAGAGTCTCAGAGGGCGGAAGACGAAGGCGCCCCCCTGAGCCGCCCCGGCCCGGGTGTTGCTACCCCGAAGGGGACGTTTCCGACAGCCGCGGCAGCATCTGAGGCTGCCGCTCTGCCTTCGCTGCGCAGCTACGGGCTCCTCACCCGGGCCCAGCGCCTCCGGGAGGGACGACTTGCCCGCCCTGCGCTTCCCCCGGGCAGGCCCAGCTATCGCCACAGGTGGAACTGTCAGCACGCACTACAAATGTAAAGATCGCAGATACTTAAGGGCCTTGAATGAGTTTGCAGGAGAGCTCAGGCCTCCATCCCATCCCTTCCGACTTTAAACTTTTGGAAGAAATTGGGATTCACAGAATGGGAGGTAGGGTGCATATGCACCTCAATTATCTGAATTTCATTAAGCTCTAGAGGCTTCCTGGTTCTACCCCGGGTAAAGACAGATCGATTAGGAAATGTTAGTGTGGCACATCAATAACCCAAACTGGTGGCTCTCAAAATTGTCTGCACGTTGGAACCACCTGGGGATCATGTCCTGGCGTCTGTGTTTCACCCTCAGAGATTGGGATTTAACTGGTCTGGTGTGCCCCGGGCTTTGGAATGTTTTCAAAGATCCTCAGGTGAATCTGATGAGCGTGCACGTTTTGGAACCACAGGGTCAAAGCAATACTAATTGCTGAACAATCGATACACCTGATGTCATTTAATCCCCAGAAGAACTCAACTATTGCCAATTCCCTTTTTACAAATGGAGAACCAGGTTAAAATGGTTAATTTATGTAAGATTGCAAAACTAACAGCAGAGCGGCCCCAAGGTCCTCATACAGAAGTAGGCTGAAGGTGAATAATTTCAGGCCTAAAGCATATCTTACCTTACTTAGTACTGTTGTTGCTGGTGAGGTTTACCATTAAAATATAGTGAAGAATTTGGAGAAGGAGAGCACTATTGCATTAGGTCCCTGAAATGTAAACTTCATGAAAGTAGTAACTCTTTTTTTTTTTTTTTTTGGCTTGGGTTTTGTGTTCCCAGCTCATGGAATGTAACAGAAACTTAATATTTGAGTGAATTGCTGATTAAATAGATTAATAAACATTAAAGTGTATAATCATCAGTAATTCATAGTCTTAATGCAGTGGTTTATGATTCATAAAAAATAACCTTTTAAACACTGGAAATATCCAGTTATAGGATTTATTACAATTTTTATTTTTACCCATTTTCTCAGTTGAGAGCATACAAAATGATGTTTTCTGCTTTTTGTTTAGTCTTATTGAAGGCATTCTTTCACTTTTGTTACTTTTATTATAATTAGCATTTAGGTCCTGTGTTAACTCTTAGCTGAAAAGTGGGTGCCATAATATACTTCCTTGTCATTTTTATTGCTGTTCTTTCTAATTTGATCTTGAGGTCTCTCTCTTTGAGAGTGACTTAAGCCAGAATAGCCATTCTTCAGGAAAGCCCAGACCCAAAGAGGAAACCTAGGTTCTGGTGTGCAGATGAGATGCTAAAGGAGGTAACACACAAAACTTGTGAAATAACAGGCATATTTTATTACTTACAGATTCGCCAGAGAATAAGCCTGATGGGAAGTCTGGAGATAACGGGACACCCAACCAGCAGGTGCGAAGGAAGAGAGAGGACTGGTGGGGCTAAGTTGAGGCCCAAAACCTTTATCCCTGAGGCTTTCCAGAGGGGTTTGTGGATTGACTAGTTTAAAGAAAACACCAGCAAAGGGGGAACTTGACTCTGGTGTCGACCACTGGGTTTTATCATGGTTAGCAGCTGTGGGATGTGTTGGGGCTTTGGTCGTGGAATGAGGAACAAGTGTTCTATATCACAGGGAGGGGAAGTTTTAAGTAGGCCTCAGGTGATGGCATACAACTGGGTTTCAAACAGCTTATATCAGGCCTAAAAATGGATGCCTAGGCAGCAACTGTATTAAACAAGTTTGGCACAATACTTGACTTCATAGCATCACTACCACACCTGTATCAGACATTTAATAAATATCTGTTGACTAACTGGGTAGACAAATGAATGAGTCTGAGAGCAGGAAGGTACTTCATATTAGTATTTCTATTAGTGTTGATCTTTAAAACTGTTTAATCTAAAGGTGGAGTTGTTATAAAGCTTTTCTTTCTTAATCTTAAGCAAAGTATAGTAATACAGCTCTTGTTATACTAATTGCTATAGAATAATTTTATATAATTAAACATTGGCAAATTTTAACTAGAATCTTATTTAGTTTTGTTCTTAGAGTAAGTATATCAATTTAGATCTTACATGAATCCTTAGATCCTTAGATCTAACATACTGTATATATGTCTAGCAGATCAACTTGCAGTGAAAAAGGGCAGACTATAGTATTCATTTATATATTAAGTATGAAGCAACATTTTTCTCTGTCTCCTTTTTATATAAATATAATCAGTTCCATGTTATGTGTACTTTGGGTAACAGATGTAGCTTTCTCGTTACTTAATACTGAGTTATAGCAGCCATATCATGATAATATCTTCTCTGCGTCAGGCATGTGAAAGTACATACCCTGAAACGTGAAATCCTCTGGTAACCATTGGTAATAACCATTCTGAAGTATCACTTGAAGAGTTTAGAAAAGATAAATCCCAACTGAATTATGAAGCAGAGCATGCAGAGTGGGAAGTTCTTGGAGGGGTTTTTGTTTTGAGCTTCCACGATAGACAAAATAATGGTTCTCCAAAGATGCCCATGTTCTTATCTCCAGAACCTATGAATATGTTATCTTACACTGCTAAAGAGACATTGCAGATATGACTAAGTTAAAGATCTCGAGATGGAGGAGAGCACCCTGGATTATCCAGGTGGGCCCTATACAATCTCTGGCATCTTTATAAAAGAGTTCAGAGTCAGAGAAGGAGGCATGAGGATGGAAGCAGCCATCAGAGAGCAGACAGCAATGGAAATGTGGGCAACCTTGAGAAGCTGGAAAGGGCAAAGAAGCAAGCTTTTCTGTTAGAGCTTACAGGAGAATATAGCCCTGCCATCCCATTTTCATATTTCTAACATCTAGAACTATAAGATAATCTACTTGAGTTGTTTTAAGCTGGTAAGTCTGTGGTTATTTGTTATAACAGCAAAAAGAAACTAATATAGGTTTCACACTGAGGAATATTCTTATTTGGACTATAATCTCCAAACAAAGTTATATGTAGTTAGAAATACAGTGATATGATTGAAAAAAAAAAAAGGCACTGTTCATTCAACTTTATGTCCTGTTACTAGAGCCCCAGTATTATGACTTTTAAAATAAATCCCTTGTCCTGTGAATTTGAAAATGTGTTATAAATGTTTAAAGCATAACTTTGTAATGTATACCACAATTTCACAACCTGCCTTTGGCATGCCTTTAATTTTTTTAAAGTAGACTCTTCTTAAGACTAGTTTTAGGTTCGCAGCAAAATTGAGAGAAAGGTACAGAAATTTCCCATATGCTCCCTACCCCCACACATACAGAGCCTCCCACACTGTTAACATCTCTCACCAGAGTGGTACATTGCTTACAACTGATGAACCTACAGTGACACATCATTATAACCCACAGTCGATAGTTTACATTAGGGTTCACACTTGGTGGTGTACATTCATTCTGTGGGGTTAATAAATTTACAATGATGTGTATCCACCATTACAGTGTCATGCAGAGTAATTTCACTGCCTTAAAATCCTCTATGCTCTGCCTATTCATATTCATGCCTTCGTTTCCCCTAATCCCTGCCCAAACTCTGGCAGCCACTTATCTTTTTACTGTCTCCATGCTTTTGCCTTTTCCACAACATCATATAGTTGGAACCATACAATATTCTTTTCAGATTGGCTTCTTTCACTTGGTAATATGCATTTAAGTTTTCTCCATCTATTTTCATGGCTCAACACCTTGTTTCTCTTTAGCACTGAGTTTTTTTTTCTTCTGGATGTACCATGGTATGTTTATCTATTCACCTGTGGGATTGTTTTAGAGGAACTTCCTGGGCTCTCCGGTTTTCCAGCTTCAGATGGCTAGGGCTCTTTGTTCAGTTTCCCGCCTGCGGGCCAGGTAGAGCTCTTTGTTTCCAGCTCACAGCCCAGGTAGCCTCTTCGGTGGAAGGGGCTCTGTGACTCAACGTTATAAAACAAGTAGCCAATCCAGTAACAGTATCAAACACCGATCAATCCACAGGAGGTTTGAAAGAACTCCTCTCATTAGATGAGAACATAAAAGGGGAGGGAATAACTCAAGAGTTAAAACTCCAGTCACTCCTGCCTGAATGGATTCCTTTCCGCATCCCCTCCCACGAAAGCGTGGGAGCTGTTCTTTCACTCTGCCTAATAAACTCCACTTCCACTACTCTTTGGGTCCACAAATTTAATTTTAACAGCAAGTTCACCCGGCCTTTAGCGCTCCTTTCCCCATTCTTGATGTTAGGAAGGCCAAGAACCTAGCAGCCTAGCTATTGCTTCCGTGGTGGACTAGCGGGTAGGACTTCCGGTTTTCATCCAGGTGGCCCTTCTTCAACCCCTGGTGTGGGAAGCAAGCAATCCAACTGAACTTTCATCACTACTCCGGTAACATACCTATTTAAAGATATTTTGATTCCTTCTAAGTTCTTGCAATTATGATTAACCTGTAGTAAACATCTCTGTGCAGGTTTTGTTTTGTTTCAGTTTTTAAGTTCTGGGGTACATGTGCAGGATGTGCAGATTTGTTACCGAGGTAAACTTGTTCCACGGTGGTTTGCTGTACCTATCAAACCTTCACTTAGGTACTAAGCTCAGCAAGCATTAGCTATTTTTCCTAAGGCTCTCCCTCCCTACTCCCCATCTCCCTGCAGGTCCCCATATGGCTCCCCTCCCTGTGTCCATGTTTTCTCATTATTCAGCTCCCACTTACAATGAACATACTGTGTTTGGTTTTCTGTTCCTCTGTGCAGGCTTTTATGTGGACTAAAATTTTCAATTCCTTTGGGTAAATATCAACGAAAAAATTGCTGAATTGTATGAGGAAAAGTATGCTTAGTTTTGTAAAAAACAGCCAAACTTTCCGCCAAAGTAGCGATACCATTTTGCATTCCCACCAAGAATGAATGAGAGTATCTGTTGCTTCACATCCTTACCAGCATTTGGTGTGTCAGTGTTCTGGATCTGGCCATTCTAATAGGTGTACAGTGGTATCTCAGTGTTGATTTAATTTATATTTATTTGATGACACATGATGTTAAGCATTGTTCATATATGAGTACTTGCCATGTGTATCATATTTGGTGAGATGTCAGAGTCTTCGTCCCGCTTTTTAGTTGGGTCATTTGTGTTTTCATTGTTCCGTTTTGAGAATTCTTCGCATATTTTGGAGAACCATTTTTTATCTAATATTTATTTGGCAAATATTTTCTCCCAGTCTGTGGCTTGTCTTTTTGTTCTCAACAAGTGTCTTTTGCAGAGCAGAAATTTTAAATGTCAATGAAGTCCAGCTTATTGTTTTTCATCATCACCTAGATTTTCTCCTATGCTATCTCTTAGGAGTTTTATAGTTTTGTGGGTTTTTTGTTTGTTTGTTTTTTATTGTCTGTGATTCATTTAGGTCAGTGAGTTTTGAGTTAATTTTGTGAAGGGTATAAGTTTTGTCTGGATTCTTTTTTTTTTTTTTTTTACATGTAGATATGCAGTTGTTGTAGCAACATTTGTTGAAAAGACTATCTTCACTTTATTGTATTGCCTTTGTTCCTTTGTCAAAGATCAGTTGACCATATTATTTGAGTCTAATTCTAGTTTCTTTATAATGTTCCATTGATTCATTTCTACATCCTTTCATCAATACCACACTGTCCTGATCACTGTAGCTTTTTATATGTCTTGAAGTCCAATAGTGTTTGTCTTCCAACTTTGTTCTTCTTCAGTATCGTGTTGGCTATTCTGGGACTTTTGCTTGTCCACATAAACTTTAAAAGCAGTTTATCACTATCCACAAAATAACTTGCTATTTTGATTGGGCATTGAATTTATAGATCAATTTCTGAAGAACTGACATCTTGGCAATATTGAGTCTTCCTACCCACAAACACAGAACATCTTTACTTAGTTTTTTTGTCATGTCTTTAATCAGTTTTTTACTTTTTCTCATATGTATCTTGTACATATTTTCTTAAATTTATACCTCAGGATTTCATTTTGGGTGGGGTTAATGTAAATAATATTATGTTTTTAATTTCAAATTCCACTTGTTCATTACTGGTATATGGAAAATGTTTGACTTTTTTGTATTAACCTTGGATCCTACAGCACTGCTATGATCACTTATTAGTTCCTGCCATTGTCTACTTTTTAATATGCACAGAAGTGCACATTAAATGGAAGTGGCTCTCATCTTTATATCTGAAATATGTAAAACTTGCTTTTTTGTTTGTTTGTTTGTCTTTACATGTTAGTACACCTCTCTGGAATACTTGTCTTGGAGATTTCCTTTATTAGAAAATCTTAGGTCCCAGTGGGTTAATTTTTTTTTAGTATTATCTCAAATATAATTAGCTCTGCCAGTCATTACCCTCCTCCCCAGCTACTTCTAGAGATTAGTTGGGGTGTTTCTCATTAGTGCAAATGAACAGCTT